GGTACGCGGGCCTCTCACTGTTGTGGCCGCTCCCGTTGCGGAGCACAGGCTCTGGACGGGCAGGCTCAGTGGCCATGGCCCACGGGCACAGGCGCTCTGCGGCATGTGGGATCTTCCCAGACCGAGGCATGAACACGTGTCCCCTGCATAGGCAGGCGGACTCTCAACCACTGTGCCACCAGGGAAGCTCCTTAAATGTTTTATAATAGATTCTAACCCATACCAATTCTGCCCCTATTACTATCAATAATATACCGTCTTAGTCTCATTCAGCTTGAAAATTTATTTCAGGGTTAGATCCACACTGTGGATGCTTACTTTGAGTTTATTCTTTAATTGTTGCTATACAATCCTCTAAGAAAAGGGTTTAATAACACGTCATACACAAAGGAATCAATTCTCTCTAGTTTATAAAAATGATGCTTATTTCATCTATATATTTCTATCCGTTAACAAGGCAGAGATAGGCCTACAATTACAATAATAATTTATGAAGTAAAAAAGAACAAAGATACCTTTGCTTAATGCATATTTGTAACTTATGACCATATTTTTATTAGAAATTGGCTCTGAGTTCATTATAGCAGAAGATATAGTCACAGTCATGTATTTCTACCAGAAGTCACTATATCATGTTATACATAAGTAAATGAAAGGTAGATTAGTATTGCATATTATGGAAGAATTTTTCATCCTCAGAATGAATACTGATAAATTGTTTTAAGTATAAAATTAAATAAAGAGATAGATGTTTAGGACTTTCTGAATTTGGTGTCTAAATAGTCTCTAAAATGTTTATATTGAAAACACCTTTAATATCCAGTGTCTACTTTTGTAGAGAGAAAAATTGTGTTATGCTGTTGTTGGTTCTGTATGCTTAGTCTTAGATTACATTCTGATCTTTAACCAGTACATTTCCCTTATTTTTTTGAGTTTAGAAAATAGGGATTAAAATACAATGTTGGGATAAATAAATAAATAAAATACAGTGATGGGGAAGCCATTTTGTTCTCAAAACTGGAGGTTTATTTAAATTATATATCCATACAATCCATAATGCTCAAAATACCTTACAAAATTTCTATTTTATATTTATTTTATATGTTATGTCGTCCCTTTTTTCTTCTTTTTTTATACCTATGACTCTTCTCTATCACATATATGGTATGCTCTTTTGGACCTACACAGATTTATGTACATAAAACATATCTGAGGCAACTTATAATTCTTCAAATACAAGAATCTTCTGAGATATGTATAATCTTACCAAATTTTGTATTTCCCCAAATTATGAGGAAGTAGTGATGTTCAAGATAATAAATTTAATGAACTCTATTTAGTATCAACTTCATGATCATTTTCAAGAGTTCAACATCTTTGGATTGTGCAAAATATATCCTTTAATACCTTCAGTCTGGAGACCAAATCTAAATGTTTTTCTAAACAGTAACATGGCTTAAGGCATGTGGTTTCAATACATTATTGAAAACCTCAGACCAATTCTTCTACCTTGGAGTCAGGATCTCTTATTTCCTCAAAAAAGAATTAATTGTTTATGATTCTTATCTCTATTAAAAATTAAAAATAAAATCGAGAAAATACTTTATATGAATTATAAAAATATTTTATCTGTACAGAAATCAATGAATAAAATAAACTGGCTGGTTATATACATATAAATACATATGTATGTATAGGTAAATGGAAAACTCTGTCTATGTCTAAACAAAATGACTATTAAAATTTCATAGTAAATTTCAAAGTAGATGTGATCACATATTTCAAAAATGATAAACTGCTGCATATATGCCTTCCACCTAATTCTGTGTTTTTACTTTTTGAAAATGTGCTACTAGCATAATTAAATGGCCAATGTTATTATGGCTACAGTTGTTTGATTTTCAAACACAGTAAGCCCATTTATACTGCAGGACTAGAGAGGTATCACTTACTGGATTCAGGATCAGAGTTGCCATCCCCTTCAGTGCGGTTGTTGGGTGCAGTATGATCAAAGTACTCCTCCTGAGGATAGCCAAGGGGCAGGGCATGGGATGTGCTGGGAAGGCTGCCTGTATCATGGTCTCCTAGTCCACCATCACTGCTGCTTTCCTGAGAGCTTTCTGGTAGGTGAAATGTGACACGCCGCTGGGACTGAAAAAGACAGAAAATTACAGGGTTTCAGCTATGATCTGAATAATTGCTTAATACATCCAATTTAGAAAATGTATTATTTCAGCTATCTAGTGAAGTCACATTAATATTATCTTGAGTTGTGAACTATTTCAGGCTTTTGTGAACAGTCAGCTCTGTGTTCAAACTTGCTTTACCTGGCAACAGAATTGCTTTTATTATATTTTTTTAACAGGGCATATCCAGTTGCAGAATAAAAGTTAACTTGTTCTAAAGCAAGAGGCTGTCACCCATATTGACATTTGAGCACATTGGATATTCTGATCATCATTTGAACATGGATTTATTTAACTATAATTTGACAAGATTTCATTTTTTGAAGAATAAGTTGAATAAATATAATGAAATTTTACTGCTATATCTGTAAGATTCTGGTGGGCAGAAACAGTAAATAATAATACAAAGTTATTCAATCATGCAGGCTTATAAATTAAATTTACAAATCATCTTTTCAAAGAATCTTAGGGGCAAGATTTTGAGTTGGAATTCAGTTAAATCAATTCTACACTCTAAACAATAAAAATAATTACTTGGTATGGATAACAGTTGATAATTATAAAAGTAAACTATAGGGATCATCTCTGATAGTAATTATAGCAGAATATAAAAAACTTATACATGCCAATATGTAAAGATGAAGGATTTGGTTCATGACATCCAATAGTGTGGTAACTCCACCAGATGTAGCAGTAATTTTGTTTGCGGTATTGCTGCATGTAGTAGCTAGTCTCTGAAGATAGCCCTGACAATGGACCTCACGTCTTGGTATTCAGACCCTTATGTAGTCTTCTACCACAATGAATATGGAGAGGCCCTGTGTAACCAAATCTCACAGTTTTTGCTTTGCTCCCTTAGAATACTCATTCAGGAAAATCAGCTGAGTTGAAAGTAGTCTGACTACTTGGAGACTGCCATACGGTGAGGAAGCTCAAGCTTCCCATGTGGAAAAACTCCATAAAAAGAAAGTACAATACAATACCCAGAGAGGCCCAGCTGCTCCAACCACTCGAGATTAGTGCTAAATATGTATGTAAAGAATCCATTCTGGACATTATAGCTTATGACCTCCTTTGATCCATCCATCCCAGCCATCTCCAGATATTTGAGCCATTCCATTTGAGATACCAATCACTGTAGAGCAGAGATAGCAATCTCTGCTGTGCACTACCTAAATTCCTGACTTAAAAAATGTTAAGTACAATTGATTTTTATTTTATGCTCCAAAGATTAAGGATAGTTTGCTGTGTAACAATAGATCAACCAAAACATTTAACTACTAGTAGCATGAAAGATGCAATTTAGAGATAATTATTTAAGAAATTTATACATATCAAAGGGTACATGTAATTAGGCACTAGAAATTTCCATGACAGAGTGCATATACTTTCACAAGTTCAGGCTTGACAGTCAGCCATTTCTTCAGATGTTGGTATTGCTGTAGACTGTATGTTTGTGTCCTCTCAAAATTCATATGTTGAAACCTAATCCTCAACATAATAGCATTTGGAGGTGGGGTCTTTGGGAAGTTATTAGGTTATGAGGATGGAGCCCTCATTAACGGGATTAGTGTCCTTATAAAAGCAGCCCAAGAGACTTCCCTCTCCCCTTCTGTCATGTGAGGACACAGTGAGCTAATTTTGTCTGTCCAGCAAAGCTGCATTTGACTGTTCTCTCTCTAAGAAGCCATAAGCTCATTTAGTTATAGGTTAAGCCTCATTTAATTCCAAAAATTACTTATACTTGTGAATATATTTTCAGCCACTTCAAGTAAGATATAAGCATTTATGCTCACAAAACTTTTAAAAATTCAAGAACTGGAAAAACAGGATTTAAATATGCCTGAAACATTATATTGTAGACATTTATCAACAGTCAGTTATTATATGTAACTTAAAGTCAAAATAATACTTAACACATAAATTTAAAAGTCATTGTATATAAAATAAGCCAGTTAAGCATGAGACTAATTTAGTTGTTCCACCAGAATGCATAACTGTTAAGAGGTATTTTAATTTTCTATTAAGACATAAGTCAGATATTTCAAGTATTTTTATCATTTAGCTTTTTTTTAAAGTATTAGACCTAGATAATAGAATCTATATATAGGAAAATAATTACTTCTGACAAAAAATAAATGAATCTAGAATTTAACATGTGCTAGTTAAGCGTGGAGTCATATACCTTAACAGAATTAAAATTGCCAGTGAATAAAAGGTAAAGTTCTATCAAATGATAGAAGTAGGGCCTATATATATATTACTTCCAAATGTAAGAGAAATGGAGTTTTGTGTTCAATTGCTTATCTACACAGAAAAGAAGAAGGCAATTTAAGTCAAAAAGATATCCCATCCTATGACACCTGTAACTAGTAACAACTAAAATCCCTTGCAAAGGAATGCCCTAGAGTGAATCTGTAATTAGCCAGGTCACATACTGACCCCCAACTCTCCTGATACTCATAAATTGAATCCCCTAAGGGTACATAGAGGGAATAAATGGGTTGGTAAGGACTCCCTTTAGTGAACACAACTGTTTTTTGTCCTTTCCTGAATGCCCATAAAACACCACAAGCACCAGCATCCTGTTCCTGAAATGCAGTTCTTATATGTGACATTATTACATACACACCTTTGAGAGTTCAGTCATATTAATAAACTCTCTTGTCTGTATCAACTTTAACAAATATCAGAATGCTTCAAGTGGAAACCAAGGTATGTTTTTTGGTCATTAATGTCTCTATATCATTTTAAAATAGTCTGAAGTTCAACTGCATACTGAGGATTTGATTTCTTTCTCAATTCACAGTTTCAAAGTTTACAGTCTAAAGCATTTTTTTTTTTACCTATTTCTATAATCCATAGAAGGCATTCAAATATCATCAATTAAATGTAATATTCTATTTCTTTATTCAGTGAATTCACAAGAGGCTCTTTATTGGCACATGGGTGATTAACTAAGTTGTCCATCATTTTATAAAATCTCCATGAAATAGTTCCTTAGGTGAAATTGTTAGAATTTAATTTTTAAGGAATTGTTTCAAAAGGCTTCTGAAAATTTAATTTTTAATGGGAAAAGAACAGCTAACTATTTTTTCCTAGGGTTACTTTAATGATTCCTACTTAAGCTTGCATTTTGCAATTTGTGACACTTCTAGATAGAACTGAACATAAAATAATTATATGAACTTAACAATTTATGAATCCTTTGTAGTAAATTTTGGTGATCTGGTTTAACTCAATTACCCTTTACTTTTTAATGGATGAATCCCTAATCTCTGATGGCACTTTTCTGCTCAGATTCGTAATATGGATGTATTCAAAATACAGAGGTATTTTTCTTATCCAGTATATTTAGAAATATTAACTATTTCATGAAAATCATTCCTTAGGTCTCTCAAAGAGAAGACTAAATAATTCCCTTTTTTCAAGTGTTGACAATGATTACTGTGCAATATAAAAGAACTATTACGTTAATGACCATGTCATAATTTGTCTGTCTGCTACTCTTCTAGGAAGTTGTGGCATTCAAATTAAAGCAATCTATTGATTGCAATGGTGCCTTTACAGGATGGAAACAAATCCTGGATTATTCATGAATAAATGTCTGTACTGAAAGTCTAGTTATTTTTCTGCCAGTAAGAGAAAAATCGACAGAGAGCCTCTCCCTATAATCTACATGCCTTCTTTTTAGCTCAAATCAATCAAAATTCCAAAATGTATGAATGCTCAGAAATAATATTGGTGTCACCTAGATGAATCATTTACAGGCAAACTATCAAATTCCCAACATTCTTGTGTCCATTATACCTCATGAAGGCATAATTCCATACTAAATATCAGGTGAATATTGTTACATTTCCATAGCATGATGTAAGTGGTATTTTAGAAAGGTTAATCCGGCAACAAAGAGGCTGCATACAGATAGGCCAGCCTGTAAATCTCATTATTAAAGGCTTGAGTATCATGTTCTAGAGGGCTCATTAGAATTACCTGTCAAAATTTTCAAACTAATCATACATCCTTGCATTCCCCCTGACTCCAATTCTAATATACCTTGACCCAGTCTACCTTAGATTCACTGCCAACACCAGGAACTCTGATTAGAAAGGGTAATCATAGCTAGGGTTATTATTTTTTAAAGATTACCATATGCAAGAGTGTTTTTGATTCATATATAAAACATTTTTGATATCAAACTAACACATTTTAAGCTTCTGAGCTCCCCTATTCTATAATAATCAACAGCTTCATTCTGAATGTCAGAGGTAATCTGCATTTTCCCATGGGTCCTGTCTCTTTGCAAAAGAATTTATAATTACTCAATATATTTAAAGTTAAATGTGAAAATAGAAATTCAACTTGAAATTTTCACCAGCATTACATGGTCAGCACATATATCTCACTTGCAGCTCATAATTCCCAGTGTAAAAACTCCCAGATGGCATATTTTATAGTAGTCCTTTACTATTTGACCCTATACCTGTAGTTATAAAACCTCCTACATTTCCAACTTAAGTCATCTTGCAGGATATATCAGTTCACCTGATTGTTTCTTCAGGGTTCCATTTCATAAAATTTGAAAGGTCTGTATAATTTCTCATTTTCCCTTTCACATTATGTTCCTGAAATGTTTACCCTTCAAGGCTTTTATTTTTTTAATACCATAACTTATTACTAGCATATGCAGGAAGTTCTTCATGATCTTCTCCAGAATCAGATCTTCTCTTAGCTCTATTTTGCCATGAATTTTTTTCAAGGCACTTGGTAATTTTTAAATTTTTATTTTATTTATTTAATTTTTGGCAATTGTCAGACATATTCATTTGATAGTCAGAAGACTGCATGGCAGTCTTGAGGGCATCTTTCCTTGAGTTATGAATCATTTCAGCTTAATCAAAATGGAAATAATCTATTTGTAGATAGGTACAATGATGAATTGTTAAATTGGCAATTGGCAGAGTT